CTGAAAACAGGACAATTGATAGTCAATCAGATTCGAGAATTTTGTTATATTTATGATTATTTAGTTAATTCATTTTGTTTTTAAACAATTCAAGTGACAAAAGGCTCGCTGTGTCGTGTTCAGCCTCATGGTGTGATTCGAAACGAAATTGACTCAACTCTACAAACTTTACATCACATTTATTCAAATTGTTAAATAAACAGGGTACTGCCTTTCATTAAAACACTAGTTAGTTTTAAAATTGTTGCATGTAGGACTGGTTTAAGAGGGTCTAGATGGGGGTACAAATTTCAGTTGTCAGTTAAAAATTTTGGCCATTTGTCAGTTGTCAGTTAAATTTTTGGTCTTTTGTCAGTTGTCAGTTAAATGATTATTAATAATTGACTATGATACTTATTCGTTCATTTTTGATCCGAAATTTAGCTAAAAACAGTGTTCTTAAAAGGATTTTCTACACTTTTTAGGGTTCACAGGACCCATAGAGAAGCTAAAAGGGGGTCACGAGGAAAAAAAGCGGGTCACAGTATATGAGTACATCCTTCAAGATGGCGGAGCTTCGGAACGTATCATTTCACACATGAGCATGCGCAGAAGTCGTCATTTTATGGACGCCGCTGATTAAGTGTTTTCTAAAGACGACATCACCAATTAATGTTTACAAACGTATTTTCATTTGGGCTTAGTCCAAATAGTGTAATCGAGATCGCTCGTTTTGATTCAAAGTTACCATAGGCACGCAATACGTGCGAACGTAAACAAGCCAAGCGACGCGAATATCTGCCACGCGAACGACTCGTACAAGGTAAAAAGCATGCCGTAAAGAAAGGTCCCACTGCGTCTTGTTTTTTTGTTTTTTGTTTTTTTTGTTTTACCTCTTTGTGCCCTTCGGACCCCTTGGGCTAAATATAGTGCGGCATTTCCCGAATGCCTGGAATGCCGCGGTCTGAGAAAACACTTTAAAAGGAATATATAACGTAAATTTAACATTAAAAGCGAAAACTGATGCAATAGTACCTTCATTTTTATCGGTTTTGCTATTGAAAGCATTTCAAGTGGCCCTCCATTTCTCAAGTCTTGTGTTACTCTCGTCCACACAAAACGGTTTTTGCTGGCCAGAGTCCAACTTTTCCAACCAATAAGCCAATCAAAATTTATACCTTCAGAATATTGGGATGTAGATCATGTGAAAGAAGAAGGAAGACCGAATCTGAATCATCTCGGTGATAATTTACAATTGCTTTTATAACGCCTTCATTAGCAGCCAACGAGTATGCTGGCGCGTTCTCAGAGGAGCGTAAATTTGAGATCATGGGCCATTTCCAACGGATGATCCATGACACGTGATAGACTTCACGATCGATCATTACGGAAATGTGCCACTTATAAGCGTCGTGCTGCTAAGAGTATCCATATAAGCGTACATTTGATCACATTGTCTGACGAAAAGAGTGGAACAATACTATTAAATAGCCTTAAAAACGGGTTTCATAGAAAATAAAGGACAATCGGGTCCTTTGTCAGTTGACAGTACAACCAAAGGCAAATTTCAGTTGTCGGTTAAATTTATAGCTGTTCGTCGGTCTCTTGTCGGTTAAAATCTTGGTCATTTGTCGGTTGTAAGTTAACCTCCTCGTTAACACCCTCGTTTGAGAGAACATGGTACTTTTTTTGAAGAATGTTCTTGTTGTAATTAAAAAGTTTTTCCCAAAAGAAATCCAGAGTTTTATAGGAAATGAACACTCAGCTGACTTTCTTAACAAATTAGCAACAACACGGAAGTTCGTCGATTTTCCGATCTTCAACTTATTAAAGTCGTCGGCGAAAAAGGCAAGCTGCATTATTGCTAGGCAAAAGTCAATGACACACTGCACTAGAATAACTATGAATGTAATTTTTACAAGCACTGGTTGCCTTAAAGAATTAAACTGATGGTAATTAACAATCCCCACGATGAGAAATTTGAAAATGCAGCTGAGAATGAAAAATAATGTCAAAACACCAGTCATTAGATTCTTTGATAATGCAAGAAGTGTCACATATCTAACGAGACCCATAATTAATAAAAGAAGGAGACTCCAAAAGGCTGGTAGGATTTTAAGCTTATGTAAACTGGCCACATAACCAAGGAAATTACCGGTAGGCAATTTCTGTATTGCAAGAACAATGAAAATCATTTGAACCAGTCGCGTGATATACCACGCCAATTCTAGTTCTTTGGAGAAGGAAAACGTATCGATCTCGCCACATTCGAATGATTCCAGTTTGTCGCCGGTGGAGCATTCAACTGCGCGGACCGTGTACAAAACACTTCCAACAAACTCCCAAAGTAAAAAAACGCTGTAAATGACAGTCGCAAATACCCTAAGGATTCTTGCATTCTGCCGGTTCGTCTGCTCAGTCATGAGGGGTTCTGCACTTTCACCGGAATTTTCTGCGCCCTAAGTCGCCATCGTGTTGACTGATTCTAAAAAAAGAGGGGAGAAAATTTGTCTTATTTTAAATAGCTTCATTTCGAAATGGTCCAATTCGAAAAGCTTAACTTACTTGCACACGTTAGAAAACTTTTGCTATCGTGGTGTAGAAGTTCTGAGTCTGTATATTGTGGTGGTTATTGTTCAGCAACCGGCGAAGAAGTGAACCTTTCGGAGGAAAAACGAGGTATGAGTTTTGCATGTGAGCTATCCCTAATAGTATAGGAAAGTAATAGGAGCGTTTTTGATTGAGAAGGGAATTCAATCCCCACAGGATTTTTTCTGTACACCAATATGGCCGCCGTTCCAGTGTTTTGTACACCAATATAGCCGCCGTGACGTCACGTGAAAACGATCTACTAAGTTTATCAGTTGCTATTAAATAGTCATTTTTGAACAGTCTTTTTTTCGGGTTTGGGCCTTAGGGCATCAATTTTCTGTTGTTTCAAACTTAAATGGGTGCCTTGTTTAAGACCCTGGGTGGCACACTCCTATCCAAAATTTATGCGAGTAGCCCCCGAATAACAATCACCTTCAGTTAATTTATCGAAGTCAATTAAATCCAACACAACAGCTGGATATGATCCATGATAATACGTACATACAGGGTCCAAAGACGACACCTAGAAGTGAAAGGGTAATCTACTGTTTTCAAACTACATGTTTGACTAATAAGGCGCGTTTCAAACACCTTGTTACAGCCGTGCTGAGTTGGCTAGACTAGAGAAAAAGGCTAGCCAGCTAGCACGGTTTCAAACGCGGGTCGCGCTACCACCGTGTCTAACGGAAGTCGAATCAAATCTTGAGTTCGGTACGGTAGTAGTGCGACGTTTGAAATCGCCAGTGAAGTTTTTTTCTTAGTTCAACACAGGTTCTTTAGGATCCAGCGAAATCTTGGTCAGCATTTTTCGTTTCGTTCGCACTGGAAGTTGATAAACAAGTTCCAACTTATTAAATTCAGCTATACACTTCCTCGCAGTGTTAACAAAAACCAAAACTCAATTCACACTGACTGAGAAAACGTAATTATCAGTGCCGGAGCATAGATTATAAGAAAACATATGAGAATGTACCTGATTAAATTCTTTATTATGGCTTCTATGTATCTGACCTGAAAAAAATTTCAATTTCTAATTAAACATTTTCTGAGTGCGATCTCAGTCAAGCAATGAAAGCCTACACCGTCAAAATAGAAATAGCAGCTATTTGTAATAAAAGAAGTTTTACTTTCGACTTTTCGTTTGATTTATTGTAATAACAATAATCTAAGAACGCTTACCTTATACTTTTTAAAATATCTTCTTTAGTTTCGTGCAAGACATTTATTTAGAAGTCAAATTCGCCATTTCAGCATGAGCGTCAACAGACAGGCCTGTTCAAGTTACCTTTAAATCAGCTTGGTAGCTTAGTGTCCTTTGTGATCGATCAGCCGAGCGTTAAGATATGTTTGACCCGGACTTTTTCTACACTTTTCTTAGTATACTTCAGACTTTAGCCAGGAGGAAATAAAGGCAGAAACGAAACTTCATGAATTAAAGTAGGTGACCACTGGTCAACCTTACAGACACTTAATTAAGAGACTGAAGAACACGTTTTTTAACATCAAGAATAAAGAGTACATGATATTTTGGCATGTTCATACTAACAAGAGAGTCCAGTTTCAGTTTCATTTTTTTATTCACACTTAATAAAATATTTACATTGTTCAGAGAGTAAAATAGAAATAAAAGAACAAATAACAGATCAGCTAGAGTAAATGGCTTTGAGAGAAGTCACGATGGTCACCCCAGTGAGAGGAGCACAGCTTTTGAGCTGATGACCACACTATTACGAAATAGAAATACTCAATATGCATGAGCGCTAGGTGCCATGCACGGCAACTATGGAGGGTTATGCGATTTACAGTCATTTGTCATCGTTACCTTTGAGAGTTAAGCAGAATTCGCCTTTGTTGTTTTTTTGAACTGATTTTGGCCGAGTGTTTTCATGCTAGTAGGAATCTCTTCCCAGATTTTAGCTACGGCAATTTTACACGTTGTACACGAAAATTAAGATTTGAAGCATTAATATCTGGTATACTGTGTGGGTGAATACCAGACACCTTTCTAAGGTACTTTTCTAAACACTTCAGGGATGTTGGTTTCACGATTTTGTGAGATTTTGCAGGCTATGAGCGATGAAAAAAGAGATAACATTAGGCATACAAAAACGTAACATGCATAAGACTGAGGTATATTCCGATTATTTACTTTATATAAAAATTAACAATGATTAATTTTTTGATGACCATTAAGCAGGCTTGGCTATTCAGCCAACTACTTAGAACTTAGAATGTAATTTCACCTAAATAAATATACAGAATACAAAATTGTGTTGACATCCATGTGGTGGACCAGGTTCCTCATTCACAGTCGTATCTGTAATCTACTAGCACCCTACGTCAGTATCATTACTTACTTTTTCTTTTTTGCTAGTCAGTGACAATTGTTGATGTGGATTACATATTGCTATTATAGGACGCTTGCCGTACTATACATTATCCAAAAAATCGTGATGGCTGAGAATATTCCTGTTATCGAGAAACATTTTTTCCCAGTAGAAAATGTAGATTCGATAAGCGAAGACAATCGCTGTTAATCTGCGAATTTCACCAATTAAGGACATAAAGTCAGATGAAATTTCATGATGGTCATCATCTATACCATAAATACCAAGCGCAAACTGAAAAGTGCCAATAACAAACTGCACAAAAAAAGACAAAAACGATATAAAAATGTTCACCTTAAAGAACGCATAAAGTTTAAAGGACTCTCTTCGTGAGTCGTTAATCTGTGTGAAGCTTAAAAAGCCGATCAATATGGCATGGGCGGCGTCAGCAAAAACGAAGGCCATAATTAAAGCAATCTCCATTGGCGAGTCATTCTCCAGCGCAATAATGGCAAAATATCCTATATTGCACATGCCATACAACGACATCAAACTCCAAAAAGATGGCAGGCGCACAAGAGATCTCAAGATGGTGAAATAGCCCAGGAACGAGCGCACTTTCTTCAAGGCAAGTATCACCACGCCGGCGTTCAGCATCTGTGATATTACCCAGAGGAGTTGCAGCTTTGCCGAGTGTGAGAACATCTCGATATCTGTAGTTTGGAAACTAGCATGTTTTGCAAAGAAGATTGCTTCAAAGGCTCGGATGGAGTACAAGATCAGTCCAATCACCTGCCAGGTAAGAAACATCAGGTACGTAATGCAGAGGAGTCTTTTCTTTGCGCTGGAGGAGAATGTTGGAAAACGGTTCAACCACGATTCCATAAAACCACTTCGGATATCCACGTTTTCGACTAGCCTGGTGGTTTCATTGCTGTTGTTGGAAGCCTGAGAAGCGTACGTGGGTTGCAAATCCATCTAAAGTAGAGAATTAACAAAAATAGTTTTCATCGGAACATTTTAAGTTGTAGATACAGTATTCGCGTTGACAAGATTAAGATTCACGTTTAAGGCAAAGGCAAACGTTAGATTTAACTGCATTAGACAGTTTCTTAAATTTGGACATGAGCAGGTAAATACGGTCCAAAATTATTCTTATGGATGAAATTACTATTTTTTTTGTGTAGATAGGGTAGGGTTCATAATTTATGTAGAGTAGGGCTATGCTGTTTTTCTATGCAATTTTTGGAAGCCCCTCGCCCGCTTTTTATCCATTGCGTTCAACCTCTTCCTAAGGCGCTTCGTTTTTCGCATCGTAGAGGCGAGCGCGAAACGCGAGTGACTGGTGATGAACCGGAAGGGACCATTGGAAGGGTACAGACGGCAGGCGAAGGGCCGTCTCGCCCGTTGTCTCCTTCCCGCCTTCATTTGCGCGCACATTTTCATCGAGAGAGAGATACGTCTGGGTACGAGGCAGCATTCCGTTAATGACCAGATCCCCCCTCATTTCACATCTCACAACCCTGGGCAAAATCCACGACCTCCCCCTCCTCGGCCTCTGTGGATAACATTCTCCTCGATGCATCATACTCAGTCTCATTTAATACTGTAATTGTCAAATATTCTGAGGTTAGGAAGGTCTAAAGACAAAATCATATCCAGTCGTGGAAGATTAAGGCTGCAAACTGGTGCTACAGTCATATATTTTAAAATTACTGCCAAACAAAGTACTAAAACTCTGAGAGCTGTGTCTGATAGTAGCCATTATGAATAGTCGACATCATGATGCTATTATGTTCACTTCATTATTAGATAGAAAAAGATAAACAAACATGAGGAAAGGTGTAACAGTTAAGCAACTAGATGGCAGGATAGTGTAAAATTAAGAGACAATGGCATAATAAATGGGGCAATTTGCTATCAAAAATTCTAAGTAAAATCCTATTAATTAATGCCCCATTCACACCAACCAAACATGTTCAATCAAACAAAATTTTAAACAATGAAAAACAGACACGGAATACTAGAAACACAGGTTTTCTCATAGGATCCAAACTAAATTCAACATGTTTTGTAATTTGCACCAAATGTGCAATCAACTCAAGTCAGTAAGCAGCTTTTATGAAGGAAGCAGTTTGAAACAGTGTTTAACTAAACGACTTTTAAACATGTTTTTAAAAGCTTTGGTATGAACGGGGAGTACGTTAGCTTCAGTGATTTAAGGTACTTCAACATACCACCCAGGCTAAGAGGCTTCTTTTCTCTTCAACACAAGAACTAGATAGTCTGCTGCACTTTTGAGGATGTTTGATGGCTGGGTTGCAAACTGTACCGCTTGTTGTTATTTAACACTGCAGTGACGTCATCAGCAATTTATGCCCGGGAGTTTTCCCGTATCATTGTTTTTGTGTTACCTCCCATAATGCTCAATGCTTCATTGACTTTCTTCAATGCGATGCTTAAGCAACCATCTAGAACTTCTGATTCATCCCGTTAATATTAAAAAGACTATACAAAAATACATTCATTTTACAGTCGATTTTGAACTAAGAATGAATAGCTGACGCTCTAATTCACAAATTAAAAGTTAGTAACAATAATTTTCGTTTCGAAAGCTGGCGATATGTTTAGCCAAATGGTGCAAAATTCAAGAATTCGCTTAACCATATTCAACAAATGATATCTTAACTCAAAGGATAATTAAATTTCAACAATTAATATTTGCATTCAACAATATGCATTGCATGCAACTTTAACCATGGTTACAGTATGTTGCCCAGTATCCGGACACTTCAGTTTAAAATTGCAATAACTTTCCTTTGTTAATCGCAAGAGCTCTGAAATTTGGCCCAGGGAAAATCTATCTAGCCCTTAATATGACGAAAGAAAGTTTAATTTTTGCCTTTGTTTCTATCGCGAAATTAATATTTTTGCAGAGCTCCTATGTTGCCCAGTATCCGGACAGCTGGCCCAGTATCCGGACACAACAATAACAACCTAATTGTACATAAATTTCGACAGGCGAGCGACTTATAAGCTTCTCTTGCACTTGCAAAGTAGTCTGGCAATCGATTCCGAAAATATAACCTGGCATCGTGAAATAAAACATAACAAATGACTGGGGTATCATCGTTGGGGAACGCGAGCGGCTGTTTTAAAAATGGTATAATTCTCACTTCTTTGTCTAAGAACTTTTTCACTGATTTAAGGAAGGCATCCGTAGACACGCCGAAGCCGCAGTTTGCAAGCTCAATTAGCCAATCTGCAAACGACTTTCTTTCTTCATTTTTTATTTAAAGAAAAGCTTGGGGAAGGGACCTCAACCCGGCGGTCAAAGGTCACTCTCCTATTTAGTCTGACCTGCAGTGTTGATTTCTTCATGCTCAGTCCCCACAACGAGCCTGCTTTTCTAGCACTAATTCCTCCTTCTTTCACATCTCTCAGTCCCTTTGTGACATTTTTTAGACCATAGCAACCCCATTCTAGCAGTCCCAACTGGGGAAAGTATGAGAATTCCAGGTTCAACTCAGACGCTTTCAGTTATATATAGAAAATGCAGTCACGCGAAACAAGCCGTGCACACGAAATCAAGTCGACTCTGAATGAGTGAAGAAAATTTCCGTACGGAGTTGAGTAGAGTTACATTTTACGACTATATCATATATCCTAAGCTTTAATTATAGTTACTGATATGAAATAAATCTTGCCCGGAGAATGTACACAACTAATTCATCGATTCTGTACAGCAAAGAAAAAACTGTCCGGATACTGGGCACATGACATCAAAACTTAGTGAATGTTTCTGGCTTACGTTATTCCAAACAAATCGAATTTCAAGAAGAATTAATAAACTTTCTGAAAACCTGACTTCCTTAAGTATCTTCACTTTAAAAATAAAACAGTTTCTTTGAAAATATCACACATTACCCTCCCTTTTCTGAGCAGCACTAACTTTACTGCGCAGTAAGCAGCGTAAATATTAGCCATGAAAAGTTTACTCAGCTGAACAGAACGGCGTCTTCTGCGACTGTTTCGCAAGCTTTCAAATCGCCAAAACTTTCATCTTAAAGCTGAAATGTTCAGCTTTCATTCGAAATACTTTGTTTACCGATAACTGAAAAGGGCCCCTCAAAAATTGAGTTCTTGTTTCAAGTGTCCGGATACTGGTACCGTCCGGATACTGGGCAACATACTGTATGTGTATTCAACGACTGGATATGTTTAGCTGACTCTCAAATGAGAAATTCTTACGATTCATCGATGAGACCCGCCGCAAACTATCGCAAAATTAGTTTTATATCCACAATAGTCTTGTAAGTATTGGTTTACGGGACGTTTTCCCTCATAATTTCCAGTGTTTTGCAAACCCCGGTGTTCATGCTTCATTAATTTGTAATTGCTTTCTTCAACACCAGAAACTGAAAGTGAACAAATAATAATTGGAATTACTTCCGCTTCGAAAGCACCGTCTTTTTAATGAACTGAATTTTAATATATGCACTAAATACAGCTTTGTTATCGCGATTTTCGGTAACAGTTCAGTTGATTTCTTTAAGGTTGTAAGTTTGTTAAATAACATCGTTTTTAGTTGGTTAAGTTGGCTTCGTTGGTGGAGCCCCACCGAAATCTTACGTAATCGTACCTAGAACTTAACCAAGCATATGCAAATTACTGATAAATCGAAACCCATTAAAGTTACTACACCGACACCGACACCGACACTCAATTTGGTTTATACGTACAATACCTTTTAAAACGCTTTAACTTCTATTCATTTCCAAATAGTTTTTACAGAAGGTATTCTTCCGATTTTGTTCCAGCTAACATGTGCCAACATTCAGTCCGTGGCCGTAGAGGAACTGACTTCCGGTTCTTAGTATATTAATTAAGGGACTTCGTTTCAGCGGGGTTTAACCTGATTTGGCGATGAGTTCAAGGAAAACTGAGTATATTTCTAAAAATAGTACGAGTATCAAAGTTTCTGGCCGTAAGAAAATGTGGTCATTATCATCATAAATTACTTAATAAATATGTTAAAGATTCAACACAATTTTAAGTACACAAAATCAAAATTAATTAACTTATCATAACACTTTTATAGAAATCTGCACTAAAAATTTTCATAAAAATAAAATATATTTCTAAAGTAATGCAAATTATTCACACAAATCCCTTGCAGAATGGCTGCATTGTCACGTGATTGCAGACAACTTGAGCTCATGGCCCCCCAGTAATTTCGCAGCTTTTGACCGCCTATATTTTCTTTGTTATTGTTTGCAAAGAGCTCACCTTGGAACTGTTTGTGTTGCAAGGCGTTGCAAATTGTTGTTGTTTATTTAAAATCCAGATGACATGGCCTGGTATTCCGTAGTTTTGAAAACTGCATTTTATAACACGTAAGCTTACATGTACACTAGTGTTGTTGAGATTCCAGGCATGAATGAATGAACTGCACATTCAATATCTCATTACACTTTGTAGCCTTCGTGGAAAAAATATGATGCGGAGCAGGGTAGTGCCGTTTGCTCTGATTCTTTCAGTGACCGCGCAGGGGGTGGGGCTGGGGGGCTCATCCGTCCCGCCACTTTTTCGGATGGTAAAATACATTTTTTTTTACTTTGGCTACCCAGATTTGTCACTTACCACACAGACAAGGTTTAGTAATCTGACAATACTGAACACCCACAAACAGAGAACAGACAAACTTTGTCTTGTAGCTGTTGCCAATGAGTTTGTAGCTCTTAATGACAATCGGAAAGGCAACTTTGCTCCTTCAGAGAATCCGACTTAAAAATGTCCCGGTGACAACTGTTGCGTGTGTTGGGTTTAGCTTCAAAGTCTATTCATTAAAATTTTGGTCTAACGTGGGGGTGGGTTGTAACTTGTTGTTTAAGTGCCGATGTAATAATTCCAAATTTATACTACTATTGGCAGTTTTAGATGCATTAATGGGCATTTCAGAAGACTTCGCTAGTGAA